AAAGATAGGTCTATCTAACAATATCGTGCAGTGGAACTGCAGAGGACTTAATGAAATACAGCTGGAGGTTCTACTATCCTTATACAACAGCCCTGCTGTACTTAACACTAATCTCCAAGCTGTTGCAGTGTGACTTACTCTGGGTGTAGCATTTACGTTATGCTCTCTGTATATTCCACCTTCATCGAACCTTCAGCTGACTGATCTTCAATCACTCTATGATCAACCCCCAAAGCCATGTGTTATTATGGGTGACCTCAACGGTCACAACCCACTCTGGGGCAGTACTAATACTAAAGGCAAAATACTGGAAGATTTCATTTCCAATAATGACCTGTGCATATTTAATGATGATTCAAGCACCTATCTGCATCCTGCAACTGGCACTTATTCTTCTCTGGATTTGTCTCTTGCAGATTCACACCTCCTGAATGAATTTGATTGGTCTGTTCATAATGGCCTTTGTGGAAGTGACCGCTTCCCAACTATCCTTTCAGAAATAACTCCATCTGATTCTCCATCGTACACAAGATGGAACTTTTCAAAGGCGAACTGGTCTTTATATCAAACTTTATGTAAATCGAAATTGCGACCTGACTGTTTCAGTGATATAACTGATCCCATTCAGAATTTTGCTGACGTTTAAAAGGAAATAGCTGACGAGTGTATACCGAAATCCTCTACGACTCCACGCGTATGAAAACCATGGTTTAATACAGACTGTAGATAAGCCAGAAAAGCGAGGAAGAAGGCAGAACATTATTTCCGCCACCATCCAACTGTCCATAATTTAAATACATTCAAAATACTCAATGCGAAGGCACGTCATACCTTCAAACAAAACAAACGACAATCTTGGAGGATATATGTCTCCAAAATTAATTCACGCACGCCAATGACTAAGGTGTGGAACATGATTCGAAGAATAAAAGGCAAAGGTTCAAAATTTAAGTAATGACAAGTCTAAAATTGCAAATAAAATTGTCGAAACTCTTGCCAAAAATTCATCATCGGCAAATTATGTCCCTGAGTTTCAGAGATATCAGAAACAACAGGAAAAGACAAAACCTAATTTCGAATCAAATAACGGTGAAGATTATAACGAAGTGTTTTCATTACATGAGCTACATACTGCTCTTGAGCAAGCTCATGACACTGCAGCGGGTGATGATAATATACATTACCAGCTACTGAAACATTTACCTGAACCATGTCTGATTACACTTTTAGATATATTTGACAAAATATGGACGTCTGGGGAATTTCCTCCTTCTTGGCGTAATGCCATTCTAGTCCCAATACCAAAACCTGGCAGGGATCATACAGATCCGTCTAATTACAGATCGATATCTCTAACTAGCTGTGTCTGTAAAACCATGAAACCTATGGTGAATAATAAAATAACTTGGTATCTTGAAACCAATAACCTTATAACAAATATTTAATGTGGTTTCATGAAAAATCGTAGTACCATTGATCATTTGGTACGTTTAGAATCCTTTGTTAAAATGCTATAGTAAATAAACAACATGCTGTATCAATTTTCTTTGATCTTGAGAAAGCTTATGATACGACCTGGAAGCATGGCATTTTGAAGGATTTACATGACTTATAAAAAGAGGCAAACGGTCTCTCAAACCAATCACAGTTTTTAAAAGACAGACAATTTCAAGTCCGAGTGGGTTCAACCCTGTCTGGCCATTATAATCAGGATCAGGGTGTCCCTCAAGGCAGTATTTTGTCTGTCACTTTATTTAGTATCAAGATCAACAGTTTATCCAAGGTTTTAAACGATTCCATTGATGGATCACTTTTTGTGGATGATTTTAATATTTCTTGTCGTTGTATAAATATGAACGGCAATTGCAGTTGTGTTTAAATAGAATAAATAAATGGTGTCTTGAAAACGGCTGTAAATTCTCCAAGTCTAAAACTAATTGTCTACACTTTTGTAGAAAATATAAGCCGCAATAAAGACCCAGAACTATCTTTAAATGGCACTCCAATCAATGTTGTCAAGGTGGCCAAGTTCTTGGGCCTAATTTTCGACTCTCATTTAACGTTTTTGCCGCATATTAAATCACTTAAAGCTAAATGCCTGAAGGCCCTTGATTTGTTGAAAGTTGTTTCCAACTCAAAGTGGGGAGGGGATCAAACTACACTCCTCCACCTATATCGATCATTGGTCCGCTCCAAACTTGATTATGGCTCCATCGTATATGGCGGAGCAACCAAGGCCTAAGACTTTGTCTTGGATCTTTTAGAACCTCTCCTATCGATAGTCTCTATGTTGAGGCTGATGAGCCATCCCTTAACCAACGTCGTATCCAATTATCTTTACAGTATATATCAAAACTCTATTCTAACGAGTCTAATCCTGCATTTAACTGTGTTTTCAATCCACTTTATGAGGATTTATACAATAAAAAGCCTTCTCTTGTTCCGCCTCTTGGGCTAAGAATTAAACCATTCATTTCTGCTGCCGGCATTGAGCTGGAAAATATATCTCCTTCCCATCTTCTTTCTTCTCCTCCTTGGCAATTGGTTAGGCCACAAGTTGACCTTACTCTGACAAAGTTTAAAAAATCAGCAACTAATGAATTACAATATAAACAAGAGTATAATCAATTAAAAAGTAAATATAATACATATAAATCCTTATTTACAGATGGGTCCAAGGACGGTGGCGCAGTGGCATGTGCCACTGTCATTGGATCCAGAACAATCTCTTCTAGAATACCGGATAACAGCTCTATATTTACAGCAGAAGCAAACGCCATCTTAACAGCTCTTAAATATATTCAAAGACATCCTAAACATAAACAATATATAATCTTTTCTGACTCTCTTTCTTGCCTCAGGCTATTAAAAATCTATCTTGCAAAGATCCACTTTTAATTGAAATAATCGAATTATATAATGATCTTGCTACTGGCCAATGCGACATCATTTTCTGTTGGTTACCCAGCCATGTTGGCATTTCTGGAACACAATGGCCGATCTTGCTGCCAAGGCAGCACTACACAAATCTGTGACACCACTTCTTATACCATACTCTGATTACAAAGCTAGCATTAGAACCTACATCCGTGATCAGATGCCGAAGATGTGGAACACCCAGGTAGATATAAATAAATTACATGAAATAAAACCTTATATTGGTTACACCTACTTGGGTTGTCCATCCAGATTTGAAGAGGCACCCATGAAGAGCCACCTCCTCGTGGTGGGTGCTGGGTAACGCTTAGCGCTCTTCGACCACCACCACCCCCCACACACACACCCACCCCACCCCGTTGCGGACCCGGGGATATATTTGGTCCACCAACCTGTTTGTCGTGGGTTGCGCCCCTGTGTCGGTGGAGGACGGGATTCTGGTGGTTGAGGGCATAGGAGCCAGGAACAGTGTTCCTATTGCCCAACACACCACTTCGGCCCTAACTTCACCTAGACGGGTGGTTGAAAAGGCCCGGTTCAACCAATCGGCTGGTCACGCCAAGCCCTGAGCATTACATTATGTAATGTTGTACAAAACTTTGCAAATTGTAACATTCTCTTTTTTCAAGTCTTGGCGAATTTTTAGAACTTGAAGGTTTCAAATACACACTTTCATGGCCCGGCGAATTTTTAGAACTTGAAGGTGGTGGCTCATGGGCCAATCAGGTGGAATAATTACTTTTGTAATTCTGCGTGCGTATATCATCCGGGTATCCTTGGTGTTTCAGGCTGGAAACCCGCCTGCTTTTAGCATTGTCCTTGTGATACTCCGTGGTGGGTGGGGAGCTCGGATGACGAAACAATATAAACCTACCATGGCTTACGGACACCCCCCCAAACAAAGAAAACGTCCTCTTGATACTACTGATCCTGATGTTAACAACATGATGTGAGAATTGTTAAACGTTTAGGTACTGGTTCTTTACTTGTTGAATGCACTAAGAGGCAACAGGCAAACAACCTCCTTTCAACTAAATCATTTCCAGTATCAGTCTCTGCCCACCGAACGCTTAACACAAGCAAGGGCATTGTGAGAGACCGAGATAGACTTTTTGCTGATATGATGGAAATTGATATTGCCTCCGAGATGAAGGACCAAGTTATGCTATTCGTCAAACGTTTCACTACCCGAAAATACAACCAGATCCAACAAACCAACACTTACTTGTTTTCATTTTCTACTCCTACTGCTCCTAAATCAATCAACGCTGGTTACTGTCACATCAAAGTGGAAACGTATATTCCGAATCCACTGAGATGTTTCAAGTGCCAAAAGTATGGTCATGGTGTAAGTACCTGCACATTGTCTTTTGTGTGTGTTCACTGCGGTGAGAAGACCCACACAACAGAAGATTGTGACAGTGATTACAAGAAATGCACCAATTGTTCAGGAGACCATTCCTCTTTCTCTAAAGAGTGTCCAATTTGGAAGCACCAGATGGAAATAAACAGGATCAAATTTCCTCAAAATATTAGTTTTGCCGAAGCGAAACAACTTGTTCAAAGATGTGACCCACAAGAAACATATGCTTCAAAAACCAAAACACCATCTGAGCCATCCACTAAAGTTTCTAAATCTTCTTCGGGTTCCCAAACCAACTTGACTTGGGTGAACGCCGATTCTCCACAGATTTTCTCACCTGCAATATCTACTCAGACTGCTGAGCCACTTCCTGGCATGTCACAAAGTCAGTCAGGGTCAGCTTCTGATCATGGTTCATCATCATGTGGCAGATTCAACTTTGTATTGTATATAGTTGTAAATATAATAAACATGTGAATCTTTTAATATGTGTGTCATTAGGTTAATGTTACGTTTTGACTCACAGAACAGTGAGTTGTGTAAGTGTTATATTATATATTTATAACATTACATATAATCATTAATTATATTTCATCTAAGTATAATATTTAGCAATAATCTTATTTTCCATATTCCTATCACATTAAAGCATTGTTACTATTAGCATTATTATAGCTACCATAAATGGAGTGCGTGTGTGGATGTATGTGCGTATGTGTGGTTAGATGTGGTTGTATGTAGCTTTTACCGTAGTTACTCTTTTAATCATTTGTTGTAAATATCATCTGCACATGGTATTTATTCATCCTGCAGATGACGTAAACACCAGCAGTGTCACCTATGCATTGAATGCAGGAGCTCAGGTCATACCAACCTGGTATGTTGTTATCATTGTTATTTCAATTGTATTTATCATTGTATATTATGTAACATCTATCATATGTGTAAATGTTTATAGCATCAAAGCCATGTAATATAATAAATACATGTGTATCATTCATGTGCATCAGCAAATCATGTGTATTACCATGATATTATTCATTTATATATCTGTGGAGTTGTCACGGTAACGTGTTGGCAACAGTAGTTATGATTAGTTATGTATATACGTGTACGTGTGTGTGTGTTTAATTAAGTATTTGGATAAGTTAATTCACTTGTTATGTAGTAATGTTTCATACTGTCAATTATTGACTGTAAACTTATATTGTCATTGTAACATGTTTCAGGCTAAAGCTTTTGTTTATTACATTCTTGTAATAAAAGTCCATCCGCCTCACACCCCAGTGGCTTTGTGGTTCTTGTCACTACAATAACTACATCCTGACGCTGCTACAATCACAGCCACCCACAAGGTCTCAATCTTTGTGTGGCACCCGTGAAGAGTCACCTCCTCGTGGTGGGTGCTGGGTAACGCTAAGTGCTCTTCGAACCCCCGTTGTGGACCCGGGGGTATATGTTGTCCACCAACCCGTTTGCCGTGGGTTGCGCCCCTGTGTCAGTTGAGGACGGGAGGCTGGTTGTTGAGGGCACTGGTTCCAGGAACAGTGTTCCTTTGCCCAACACACCACTTCGCCCCTTACTTCACCTAGGCGGGTGGTTGAATGGGCCCGGTTCAACTAATCGGCTGGTCATGCCAAGCTCTGTTCTTGCTCTGTTTATTGTTTTACACAAAATACTTCCATTTTTTAACATGTTTTGACAAAAGTATTGGCCAAATAATCTATCACTTGCATTTCCTGTGTGTGTTTACTAATTTTGAAATTTGAGTCACATACAGAGAAGCGGTGGCTCATGGGCCAATCTGGTAGGACATATCTTTTCAAGATGTTCTCCTGCTTGAGTATACCCTCCTGGTATCCCTGGTGCCGTCTGTTGGAGGCCCACAGACATAAGGCATCGTCCTTGTTGACACTTCATGGTGTTTTGGGAGCTAGGAGGGTGAAATATATTTAATACAAACATGGCACCCCCACTAAAAAAAAGATCGTATGAATCTGATGATTCAGTATCGTCTGAGGATGAGACTCCTCCAATTGTTGTTAATCCTGATAATTGGTCTCGCTTTTTAGTCATGTCTTCACCGAATGATGGTCCACTGAAATTAAATCCTTTTGCCATTGCAAAAGCCAAAGAAGTTCTGGCCGGCGATGTGAAAGAAATTAAAAAGCTGCGTTCTGGCTGTCTTCTGATTGAATGCAAAAAGCAGATTCAATCGCAAATCATGCTGTCAACAAAGTCATTAGCGAACGTTGCCGTGACGGTTTCACCTCACAGGACCCTTAACAGCAGTAAAGGCATTGTCCAAGATGTAGGCCGTTGCCTTTCAGACATGGATGAGGATGATATTGTTTCGGAATTATGCTCACAAGGAGTTACAGCTGTTAAACGTTTTACTTCCAAGAGAGGCAATGAAATTATTAAGACCAACACATATTTATTTACATTTGGTCTTCCATCACGACCAGAATCACTCAAAGCTGGATACTGTCATTTAAGGGTGGATGCTTACATCCCCAATCCCCTTAGGTGCTACAGATGTCAAAGGTATGGTCATGGTTCAAAGTCATGCCACAACACAGCTGCCTGTTATCGATGTGGGGGCAAATGTGAAGATAGTAAACGCTGCGTAAAACCTCTTTCATGTGTAAACTGCTCAGGAAATCATCCATCGTCTTCAAGAGATTGCCCTACATGGGAGTTTCAATCCAAAATTTCAAAAGTCAAACATGACCGCAATATCACCTTTTAGAAGCGTAGAAATATGTTCTGGCTCATAAAAACCAAACCCATCTTACGCGGCCACTGCTTCTGCCTCAGTTCAAAATGTTATTGTTTCTAGACCTGTTTCATGCCATTCGGTTGCTTGCCAGACTGAATACACGTGACTTGAGTCCTCGACTCTAATACAGGCTAAACGTCGTCAACAATCATCATGTTCTTCTTCATCACAGACTGAAGATCAATCTACAGTGGTTTCAACGTCACCATTGGCTCCAACATTGGTATCACAACCATCTCATGTTGTAAAGAAGAATAACACCAAACATGATTATTCAGATCGTATACCGAAGGGTCAGTGTGGCCCTGTACAGATACATAATAGATTTCAATCTTTGGAGGACATGGAAGTGCCTCCTCTCTCCCATCGGCGCAACAGAAGTAAGTCGCCTAGAAAAGGGAAAAATAGATCTCCCGTGCATCCACCTATAACATGAGCGTTTCCAGTTCACTAATTCAGTGGAATTGCAGAGGTCTCAGGACCAATTTTAATGATTTACACTTATTAATACAAGATTATAAGCCGTCAGCAATATGTCTACAGGAGACGTATTTAAAAGAAACTGACAACTTTGCTTTACGTCAGTACAATGCTTACCATTCATTCTCTCCACCAGGGACAAAAGCAACTGGTGGATCTTCTATTTTAGTAAAACAGGGTGTGATCCACAGCCCTGTTTTAATTCATACCAATCTTCAGGCTGTCGCAATTCGGATAACTATGCACATTGTTTTTACCGTGTGCTTTCTTTACATTCCTCCAACGTCGACGCTTCAATCCAACTGATCTTCAAGCACTTTATGATCAACTTCCAAAACCGTGTATCATAATGGGCGATTTAAATGGCCACAACCAACTTTTGGGGCAGTGTACACACAAGCAATAAAGGTAAGTTACTGGAAGATTTCATTTCAAATAATGACTTATGCATATATAACGATGGTTCACATACTTATTTGCATCCTGGTACAGGTACATATTCTAATCTTGATTTGTCACTCACTGACTCAAACCTCCTGAATGAATTTGAATGGTCCGCCCATGACGACCTCTGTGGAAGTGATCACTTTCCTACAATTCTAACACCGGTAACCCCATCTGATGTTCCTTCGTCATCCAGATGGAATTTTAAGAAGGCTAACTGGCCTTTATATGAAACTCTCTGTGCTGAAAAACTTAAACCTGAAATTTTCACTGATGTTGCTGACGCTATAAAATGTTTTCTGATGAACTCAATAACATAGCCAATGAGTGTATCCCTAAGTCCTCTGTAAATCCACACATAAGAAAGCCATGGTTCAACGATAACTGCAAACAGGCTCGAAGGCACGGAAAAAGCTGAACATTATTTCCGTCGCCACCCTATGGCCCACAATTTGAATAAATTTTAAATTCTAAATGCTCAAAGCAAGGCGTAACTTCAAACAAAGCAAACGCAATTCTTGGCGAATGTATGTATCAAAGATCAATGCACGTACGCCGATTTCAAAGGTATGGAACATGATCCAGAAAATCAAGGGTAAGGGCTCTAAATCTAGCATTCACCACCTGCAAGATGGGGACCAAATATTGACTAATAAATCAGATATTGCAAATAAACTTGGTGAAACTCTGGCCAAACACTCTTCCTCTTCAAATTATGTACCTGAATTCCAAACATATAAAAAACAGCAAGAAAAGAAAACTATCAATTTTAATTCAGTTAATGGGGAAGATTATAATGAAATATTCTCTATTCATGAGCTCCATACTGCTCTTGAACAAGCTCATGATACTGCTACAGGAGCTGATAATATACATTATCAACTCCTGAAGCACTTACCAGAATCCTGTTTAGAGACCCTTTTAAATATTTTTGATGACATTTGGACGTCAGGTGCATTTCCATCATCATGGCGAGATGCTATAGTAATCCCAATACCTAAACCTGGACGTGATCATACCGATCCTTCAAATTATCGACCAATTTCACTCACAAGCTGCGTTTGCAAAACCATGGAACGCATGATAAATAATATACTAGTTTGGTACTTAGAAACCAATAACCTCATAACAGATATTCAATGTGGTTTCAGAAAAAAAACAGAAGTACCATAGATCACGTAGTGCGTTTAGAATCATTTGCCAAAAACGCTATAATTAATAAACAACATGCAGTGTCTATCTTTTTTGATCTAGAGAAAGCATATGACACTACGTGGAAGCATGGGATTTTAAAAGAATTACATGACTTTGGTTTGAGAGGCCGTTTGCCTCAATTTATATCCAATTTTTTCAATGACAGACACTTTCAAGTCCGATTGGGTTCCACGCTGACTGATCATTACAATCAGGATCAGGGTGTCCCACAAGGTAGTATTTTGTCCGTCACATTATTTAGTATTAAGATTAACAGTTTATCAAAGGTTTTAAATGATTCAGTTGATGGATCACTTTTTTGTGGATGATTTTAATATTTCTTGTCGTGGCAAAAATATGCATACTATTGAACGGCAGCTGCAATTGTGTTTAAACAAAATAAATAAATGGTGTCTTGAAAACGGCTTTAAATTTTCCAAGTCCAAAACTAATTGTCTACACTTTTGTAGAAAATATAAGCCGCATAAAGATCCAGAACAAACTTTAAATGGCACTCCCATCAAAGTTGTTAAGGAAACCAAATTCTTGGGTTTAATTTTCGACTCCCATTTAACTTTTCTGCTGCATATTAAATCCCTTAAAAATAAATGCCTGAAGGCACTGGATTTATTGGAAGTAGTTTCTAATTCAAAGTGGGGAGGGGATCATACTACCCTTCTCTACCTATATCGATCACTAGTCCGCTCCAAACTTGATTATGGCTCCCTCGTATATGGTGAAGCCTGCAACAGCAACTTAAAACTATTAGATTCCCGTGCATCCAAGGCCCAAGACTTTGTCTTGGGTCTTTTAGAAGTTCCCCTGTTGACAGTCTCTATGTTGAGTCAGACGAGCCATCATTTAACCAACGTCGTATAAAATTATCCTTACAGTATATAACAAAACTCTATTCTAATGAGTCTAATCCTGCATTTGACTGTGTTTTCAATCTTCTTTGTGCGGATCTGTACAAGAAAAAGTCTTCTCTTGTTTCGCCTCTTGGGCACAGAATTAAACCATTTATTTCTGCTGCCGGCATTGAGCTGGAAACTATAGCTCCTTCCAAGGCCCCAGGTTGACATAACTTTGACCACATTTAAAAAATCAGAAACTAATCAATTACAGTATAAACAAGAATTTAGTTAGTTAAGAAATAAATATAATACATATAAATCCATATTTACAGATGGATCCAAGGACGGTGGCGCTGTAGCTTGTGCCACTGTCATTGGGTCAAGAACAATATCTTCTCGATTGCCTGATAACAGCTCTATTTTCACGGCGGAAGCAAACGCCATATTAACAGCTTTAAAATATGTTAACTCACACCGTAAATATAAACAATATATTATCTTTTCTGACGCTCTTTCTTGCCTTCTTT